TTTCTTCACCCCGTGTTTCAATCAAAAATTCTTCAGTTCCAACCCTTTTGGGAGATCACCTTCACCACGATGTGTTCGCCTAAAATTAGGATCACCTCAGCACTCATCGTCCTCACGAATATCGCAGCCATCGCCGACTATCGCAGTCATCGACGAACATGGTCTGCCTAACCCTTATCCACAAATACTATACCATGATCGGCACCTTCCTCCCACTTCCGCACAAGGACGGACCAACAGGGCTACTATGTCCAGTCTGCGCGGTTCAGATGAGGTATATGAGGGCAAACACCGACTCTTGGCTCATTGGTGTACGTTTTGGTTCCATTTCCGAATCTTCCACAAAATCTAACTGCTGTTATCTCGCACCAATCCTATAGTGCCCAACACCAATGAACGAACACAATTGGAAAACCTGGAAGTGCAATCAACTCAACCACGAAATCGCGCTCATTAACTTCGGGGTCCCAAGACCAATTGTTTCGACCGACAAGGCCTGGGGACCACGTATGTCACCTCTAGGACAGATCCTTGACGAGCCCCCTCCCGAAGGAGCCCAACGAACCCGTCAGCATCCATACGCACACGCCAGTCCATCACGCAACAAAAAATCCAAACCACCAGCCCTCCTATGTAAACGCATACACGAGGGTTCTCTCTCTCAAAATCATAAGAAGGCAGCCAACAAAGGCTGCGTGAAAGGTTTGATGCCAACCCGTATTTCTCTCCTTCCAAACTAACTTTATCATTAATCTTTTTTGCTGCAGTGCTGCAACACATATACTTTAGTCGAATGTCGTGTGCATCCACGTCCCCTTGCATTAGCTGGCCCCGCTGCGACTAACGCTCATGGCCTGACCGATCATCAAATCGCAGCTTTAGGAATCACCCATCAACAACTTGCAGCAGTAGGCGTGATGCAGGCAAGCTCATCTGGCCAGTCTACCCCTGGCCCCGCTGCTGCAACTTCTTCAACGTCCACGCGTCGACATGTCCCAGCCTTCCTGAAAAACCCGCATCAGTGGGCTCAAGGCGCGAACACACTAGGTCGACGAGTTCCTTTCGAAACTATGGCCATGATTCAGAGGAACCGTGCTCAGCGAGATGAAACAGCTGAGCGGCAATCTTCCAGCAAGGTCGACATAACCAAAGTAGCTACGATCATGTTATGGGTCAATGTGAGTGGTCAATCGATCCAGATCCAATAATGAATAAATTGATTTTGATTCAATAATTTATCTTGATCCTCAGTCTGTCGAACCGCAGACTTTGGAAGCTTTTTTCCCACAGTGGCCATTGTATTATCTTGAACAAAGCGAGCTCCTTGTAGAGGCGCTCCATAAAGCGGAAGGGCCTTCTTGGAATCGAGCCCTGAGCATATGGGATCCAAAACTCAATGCCTGGGTAAAAGCTTATCCCAATCCTTTTATTTCCTAATGCGCGTGTCATGAGTACATCCATACTCATAACTGCCTCCCTCACATCTACAGTGCGACACCCTCGTGAATTACCCACGCCGAAACCCAAAGGACCAACGCACAATCATTGTCCGTCTCCAATCAGTGCTTGTTCCACTATCAGCTCTCCCACGTTCCCTCCCGATTACCGATCGTTTGGCACCTGCCTCAGCTTTCCTCTCGGCATCAGCTCTCCCCCCTATCTACGACACGCCTTCCTCACCAGGAACACCTGAAGCATCTTCCCGCGCAGCCAGCAGTCATGAACATTACGGGTCGCCCGCTCCAAAAGCTCCTCTGGTTCTCGAGCACCCTGCAAGTGCATCCAGCCACCCAAATACTCCCAGTACAGTCCAAACTGCCCAAACTTGCGATGAAGGACCTCGAGCCGACAATGGCATTATTGATTTGACACAAGGACAAGACTCTCCAAAAGACCAAGTGACAGAAAGACATGACTCCCCAGCTGACCCGCTCCAAACGGTCATCGCAGGCAATGAAATCCCCCTCTTGCTTACGGAGGATCGACCTCAAGACACACTGGGCAACGGCGCCCATGATCTCCTCAAAGACGCCGCAGACAGAGGCCCGGGAGGTGTACCCGTGCCTGAAGAACATGCGGATACTAATTCTACAAAGTACAACTTTCTTCAGGAACGCATTGCTAACCCACATTCATTCACTGACAGTTCCATTCCGATTGACCTAGGTCGCACCCCTCTAACCCGACAATGGCTCCTGCCCTTCTCAAAGGCTGGCCATCGTCAACTGTTCCAATCGCCAGTATCCTAGCATTGTACAAAGATCAACAATGTGGGAACGCCCCACAGCGATGGAAGGAACATTTCGGCCGTGAATGGAAGTATGTCGAAGGCACGATGTATCGCTATCGCGCTTGGATTGGGTTGGTCACGTACTCGGTTATGTCTGAGAGGTTCAAGTCGCAACCGAATGCGACCGTCGGGGACGCTCGTATAGTTTTCAAGAAGGAGTTTGATCAGAAGGCAGGTGTTAAGAAGTAAGAGGGCAAGGTCGAGATTCGGAATGATACAAAGTGATGTGGTGGTTTTCGTGCCTTTCTTATAATTAATTATCTTAATATGTATCTTGACGTGTTTCTGATGTAGAAGTTCTTCTAATTGTTAATGTATGTCTTTCCTATGTAGTAAGTACAATCCGTTTGTTCATTGTTTGATGGTTGATGAATCAAATAACAGAAGACTGTTAAGTTTCAGTCGTGCCAAACCACTGGTTCCTTTCAATTTTTTTCAACCCCTTCATCATTTGAGAAGGTTTGGAAGCATCAAGTATTACAATGCGAGCCCAACGGATCTTGATGTAGTTTGTCGAGCTGCTACGTGCTCAGCAGCTCGCTCAATCGGATGCGTTTCCATCTGGCGACAGGGTACCGTCGCATATGAGGACCCTGAGATTTCGCCAGGAGGATACATTCATTATACAAAGTGGTTACCAACTTCGTATAATGCCAATGAGGTGTAACTGACATCAGGGTTATTTTTCATTACGATGGTTTCACCTCCCAAGCGGACCCCTATTCCCAAGCTCGCGGTGGTTGGCACACCGCAATTCCACCTTCTTTTATACCTCAGGTCGGAACCATTTCCGATGTCCCCCTCACGCACCAAAAGAACCAATCACGTCCCTATGGGTTATCCTGCCATCTTGAACACCGTGGTGCCTATCACGACTGAAGTGAGCCCTTTATTCCCAAGACATGTTTAATTCTTTATACTTATATATGTACTACTATCCATCCAAACTCCATTCAACGGTTTCCTTTTCTTCGTGCAGGCCATCCGCATTGGGGGCGACGACTTCATGCCATATTACTCATGCCCCACTGAAATTGTCTTGCAAGATGTTCAACCCCAACCACTGCAAGCACTGGGGCATGTTGTACACCAAGCACGACTCCGCGCAAATCGGACGTATCAACTCACCGGGCCGCTAGGCCAAGATCCTGCCTCTGGTGACGCTATGATCACATTTTGTTCCGAAACCCAAAGCTTCGTCAGCAAAGAACATCCACCGCGCGAGTCCCTTGCTGGCCACACAGTGGTTACCAGGATCGGCAAGGTGATTAAGGTACAATTGGACGACGTAGAGGACCAAGCAGTCGGATGGAATCTGACCGTCCATGCTCACCACGATTACTACGACCCTCTAGTAAGCCAATCACCACCATTGGTTATATTTTGATCACGCACTGACACATTCACCCTTTGACATCACACGCAGCAACAAAGAGTTTTCGACTTTGTCATTACATATGCTTTTGGCCACATGACTCCGTTTCCTTTTGAATGGAAACACTTACATGCTGACGCAGCCATGTGGGTCAAAGGAAATGTGGTCTCCAAAGACCCGGTTTCACGACGCTTCGTAGTTCAAGTGGGCATTCATTAATTTAACTCAATCTGTCGCAACCTTGAACTCTGACTCGCAACCTTCTTTTCTGACTGTCCCGGTCTACTCACTCAGGTGCTTGACTATTCCTTCTTAGGCAAGATCCCCGATATTTTTGCATAGGCACGCTGTAAATTGAAGGTTGTAACCTCCTGTAGTTAGAACCTGCAGTGTTGTCCACATTTGCCCTTCCAAAGGTTCATTTTCTTTGTCACAATCCCTAATAAATGCAATCGTTATACCTCACATTCGTTCATTTTAAAAGTGGAGTTCGAGTATTTATTGAACTATTAATACCGGAGCTGCTTTGTTCGCTTTCTCTCAGTTGTCAAATTCACTTGATGACTGGGAGAAAGATAGAGTTTTTTTGGTCATGTCTCAGGACAAATGATTCGAATTTTCAATCATATCATCAAGCTTTAAAGTAAATGTATAACCTTTCAGCGAATACAATACAAAGGCGAAAAGAAACATGTTTTCTAAAGTTATTATTATGATAAGGGCCCCTCCCCAAGGAACTCCATTCCAGGTCTCTTGTCCAACTTCTTGGTCAGCCAAGCATTCCTTAAGTAAACCATCTCTTCCAAAAAAAAGTTGTACAGAAGGGAGTGCATATTGCGACAGATTGACGCAAAGCCCCCGTACCAAATGTTGGTGAGCTCAGCTGCAGAGGCGTTGAAAATCCATCTTCCCCCCTCTTGAATGTCCGGGAAGAGATGAGGATCAGTAAATTTTTTACAAAATTCATCGCTTTCTGCGTGCGATCGATGGTGGAATGGATCCACTGGGATAACTGTTCCATCAAAGCGCGTACAATCAGTATCTCCCGTGTAGATGTGCTCGGTCAATCGGCAAGCGTTGTCGTAGAAAACGACCTCGGGCATGCCTTGGGGGAAGCTTTCCTCGAGAAACTCCTAAGTGTACAAGAAGTGAGATGAGACAGACAGAGACAACTTAGGTTACATCATGTCATGATGAACGAAGAATTCAATCAAAACCTGTACTGACCTTGACTGCACTTACAGACTCAGCGTTGTAAAACGTCTTCCTTGCCAACACAATTCCACAACCAGCCACAGCAAGCTGATCGTTGTGCGTTCGTGATCTGGATAAAACTTATTTACCAGCTGCCTGGGACTGGCCTCCATCGCGTGCGCTTTCGTGTGCCCGTTGGGACTCGTCGGCTTGCTGGATACTTTCCAGGTCAGCAAATTGACCAGTTTTGGTGTCAAGATGGACTGTTGGGTCGGGAGGCAAGTTGGATCCTGGACGGTTCAGCAGCGCTGTGAGGGAAAAATTCGCTTGGGTTTTCTTATTGAAATCAGCCCACACCTTGATGTGTTGAGCGTCGCCACACGTCTCGGTATCCCCTACAGCGGCCTTGGAACAGGGCTGGGCTCGGCAGCGACCGCCGAGTAAGCCATAATGATAAGGGCAGAATCTGTCGTTGATGTTATCTAGTTTGTTTGTGCAAGGCCCTTCTGGGGCCGGAAGTCCTAACTGAGTGGCGATCTCTTGCAACTGTTGGGTTGAGGCGCTACATCGCCAATGCCCAATCGTCAGGCCGTCTGTAACTACTGCCCGTATTGCTATCAGAACCATCGAAAGGTTAGCCAATCAGCTTGATAAATTGATTGAGTGGTGACTTACATTTACAGTACTCCTCTCCGGTTTTGGGATCCACGACGGAAGCCAGTCGGACACAACTGGAGCAATAATGATCACGGAATTTTGTTCCTTCAACAGACAAGAGTTCAAGATGTTCTTTGATGGCGGCGTCGATTATGTTGTCGTTTCCACTCGAGTTTACTGCGAGCTGTACCCCTCTGCGGTCAGCATGATTCATTAATGAATGAAGGATCAGGCCATCGCGGCAAACTTCCTCGGACATCGACGGGGTAAAGCTTTGGTCTTGGATAAATTTATGGACGGGGGTGTCATCTACAAAGATTTGATCATACCAATTCACCAGATTGAAGTGTGATACACTGGCAAACTCGGATGTCAGGAAACAATCGATAAATTAATGCGGTGATTTGAATCCAAACTGACTGGGCTAACATCTGAAGCACCCGAAGCATGTAAGACATACGGGTTGTCATGTAGTAATGACAGTGGATGTGGAGGAAAGTCGTATTGCGAGCCATTTCCTGTGAGTAGTAGATTCGTAGGTCGTCTCGAGTGTAATAACTGGGTCTATAGAAGGTTCCACATGCTTTGTCTGGTAATATGTAAATTAATATGCGGCTATGATATGACTAATATGGAAAATTAGGCGAACTTACTTGAACAACAGAGTATCACTGTTTGAATTGCATGGACGCCATCAATATCGTAAAGGTAGCCGTCAAGACACGAGTGGACGTGTAACGCAAAAGAGTGGTCACGCGAGCATAGGGTACAGTGAGACATTGGTGCACGTAAAAATCGTTCGGGCATTTTGGTACCCAAAAGCTCAGGGTGTAGACCGAAATCCCGGATAGCAGCTGAGGTGTTGATTCGGGAGGCGTCCAACAGGGGGAAGGACAGCCGCCATAAGTCAGGCAACAGGTCATGTGGGTAATGAGGTGAGAGCGCCAGTTTGAGGAAAGGTAGGAGAGTGTTTCGATTGGGTGTCAACCGTACGCTTTGTCCCGCACGATGTTGGACTTCGCCGGCGAGGGAAACAAACCGAACAAAGTCTGCCACACTCAGGGTTGCAGAGAGTCGAGGTGAATCGCGGGTCATTAGGTCGACGAAGTCGCGCAACAGCATGTTGGGATTGAGGGTGGGTATGATGGACGGTGGTGGTGTTGAAGTTGAAGTTGATGATTATGAATGAAGTAAGGTGAATCCAGGGCGCCCGTCTTCACAAGGAGGAGACGTACCCCGGGTGGATCGGGGCAGGCACCGAGGTGAGGGCAACGTATCACATGGATGACACCGCAGTCCCACAAATGGCGGAGAGTTGCAGTATCAGTCTTTCACTGAGACTCCCTGAGACAATACCTGGCACATACAGGGATAGTACAATTTCTTCTCGAGTGGCGTGTTTTTTATTCTCTGAAATTCCGGGCGTCTACAAAGGTGTTTTTTGAAGGAAGCAAAGGCCAAGTCAAGAAAAAGGAACCCACATTAATTTGTTTAAAACATCAAATCAAGTGGTTGGGTGAGAAGAAGTCGCATAAGCTCTGTGAAAAGTAGACCCACCGAGACGCGAATCGAGTAAAGCAAAAGAAATGATATAAAGAAGATTAAGATAATTAGCCACATGAACATAAAGGTCAAGAGCCATTACGAGGATCGAGAGCTTTGAAAATATCATTTCAAGTGGCAGTAAAAATGATAGAAGGTAATGAGCCAGATAATCAAACGGTCGAATTTGATTGTGAAAACTTATAAGATTAGCTTCATTGGCCAATAAGAGGGAGATGCCAAGTTGGATTGTTTTCAATTCTGAGATTAGAAGCTGAGCTTAACAATATAGGATGGAAATGCTGAGGAACAGATTATTAAAGTTCATCTTGAAGTCGCTCTGAGTCTGATCACATTGAACATGAAAATGACACAAAACCTCAAATTTCAATTTATCTTTCTATCATCCATTCTTACATTGATTGTGTGGCCGAGTAAAAATTGGACCGATCGATCATGGTCACATTCATGTCAGATGAGGAAATGACAAGATTTTTAGGATGAAGAAACAAATCAATAATGAACCATGTATGGAGTGCCACCACTCTTGACCACACTGTATGACGGGTGTACAGAAAGCCATCTGTAGCTCAGAGAGTCTCAGAGAGAGTCTCAGAGCGAGTGAGTCTCAGGATAAGACTGATACTGTTACGCTCCCACAAATGGGCCAGCGGTGCGTAACTCTGGACTTTATGGTCAAAACGTATTGGCCATCAGGTGTTACAGCCGTTCCCGAAAAGGTTGCTTTTTTGATTTTTTTTTTTGGGGCGGTTAGGGCTGTTAGGGTTGTACTTTACATATTATTGCCCATAACAAGTTGACAATACACATACGATCATACCACAGTGCCAGCCGATCCACCAACCAACAAATCCACCGATTGGATCGCTTTCTCCAGTTCCTCCTCTCGATCGAAGGCTTGTTCTCCAGGTTCGTTTTCGCTCTCAACTTTACCGGGTCACCTGTTCTGCTGTTGATTCTTTCGTTCATTTTTTTGTTCATAGGTTTCCTCCGCACCCACGATGGGGTTTGTCTTGTACTCGCCCGATATCAAACTCATTGTCATCCACAAGCATCTCCGTGGACAGACACTAGACGAAATCAATCTTGATCTTACGCTGGAAGTCTCCAAAGACTCACTTGCTCGATGGCTAGCTTTATTCAACAATACTCGGCGAGTCATCTCAGATCCAGATTTCTACGATCCTCGTGGCCGGCCGACTGTCTTATCAAACGAGCACCGCAGGTTTATCGAGAACGCCATTGATACTGAACCGACTATCTACCTTGACGAGCTTGCACACCAACTTTCAATTGAAAGAGGTATAGACATCTCCATCACTGCTTTAGCTCGTGAGGTACGCGATCGTCTTGGTCTAACCTTGAAGGTGGCAAAAACTGTCCACCCAAATCAAGACCCCAAAGAAGTAGGCAGGTATCTGTATGAAGTTGGATCAATTGATCCATTGTGCTTGGTCTTCATTGGTAAGCGTATTTCGTATTTGTATATTTCTTGATGTGTGATCCTAGAATTGTCAATAAATACACTTTGAGACAACAGGATCAAATTCACATTCCATCAGCAACGCTGATCAGAGGTCTGATCAGCTTGTGAACCAGTGAGGATTTACAACTGGTGTGTAACCTCACTGGTTTCGGTGGAATTGAACAAACCGTTGTCTTGAATGTATTTATTCATGACTCTAAGATCGCACATTAAGAAAGCATACCAATTGTCATATTTTCTTATTCAACTTTGAACTGACTTGGGTTTGAACAGATGAGAGTGCTTTCGCAGCTCGCAGACTTTACCAACAGAAAGCTCGTGCACCAAGAGGCCAACGTACACGACGTCTACCTCGGACTCTACAATCAAGAAAGTACTCGTTACTCCCTGCCATCTGTTTGAGTGGTTGTCTTGGAATGATTATTCAGGAAGGCTCAATTCTTCGGGAAGATTTGGAGTACTTCTTGTCGCACCATGTGGTAGGTACCATCAGCATATTATCTTTATCTTTGATAATAATCTGATATCTCGCGTCTTCCATACCAGCTTCCTATGATGAATCCTTACCCAGCTGAAAACAGTGTCCTTGTTTTGGACAACGCACCGGTTCATCATGGTGGTAATATTCAAGAACTGTGCGATCAATTTGGTGTACGATTACTTTACCTACCTGCGTATGGCCCCGAGTACAATCCAATCGAGAAATCTTTCGATATCATCAAGGCTCACCTTCGAAGGAGTGGCGAACTTCAAGAACACATGACGATGGATGAGGAAGCAGAGGTCATCTATCGTCATGGTGAGAACGCA